AGAATATATTTAATATGTATGTAACATACACAAACATGTGTATACATACAGATAGATACATAGATAGATAGATAGATAGATAGATAGATAGATAGATAGATAGATAGATAAACAGACAGATAAAGAGATGGAAGGAGGGAGAAAGGGATGGAGAGAGAGTGCAAAGAAAGCTGAAAAAGATGTTTGGTATAAAGTGGGTCACTAAATTTTTGAGAACTGGATTTTCAAGTTAACTTTACGTATGTTGAAGTTGAACTGCCAAAATGTATGTTTTTTTAAATTTCCTTAACTGAAATTATTGCAAAATTGTTTATCAGAATTCATAACCAGATATGTCTGATTTCTCCGCCAGCACTGGCTTGAAGTCTGTAACCTTTTACAAGTCATTCTAACAATCTAAATACTTACTATTCATTCTAATAATTGTAGCCACATATAATTTCCATGTTAATTAGAGGATTCAAAGAGAAATAACGTACAAGAATTGGGAGCAGTAACCAGATCACAATGGGCACCCATAATGACAACATCATATTTGTTTAGTCTTACCTGCTGTCATTCCTTTAATATATTTTTTTTAAATTATAATCTAGTTCTTTCTCAAAGAGAGAAACTTCTAAGGTATGAGGATGCTCAAATTATTTATATTTGATAAAATATTCCTTTTGGCTTTTTTATTTTTTTATATTAATCAAAGGTTATTTACTTTGTATCCCAGCCGTAGCCCCCTCCCTCATTCCCTCCCAATCCCACCCTCCTTCCCTCGTCTCCTCCCTGCCTCTTTCCAAGCCCACTGATAGGGGAGGACCTCCTCCCCTTCCATCTGACCCTAGATTATCAGGTCTCTTCAGGACTGGCTGCAATGTCCTCTTCTGTGGCCTAGCAAGGCTGCTCCTCCCCCGGGGGTGGGTCGAAATATTCTTAATATCAAATAAGATTATATATTGGAAAAAATAACTTACCATTCAATGACTCAATAAATCACCTAATAATTCCAACACATTTAACCTAAGGTCTTCTTATAGGAAGGAAAATATTTTTAAATATTACACACCACAGTCTACAGCCTCAACTGCCAATGAGTTTTGACTACTTCCCAAATTCAAGTCTTAGACACAAATCACAGTGAGATAGGCTGTGAAATCTGTCACCCCTTTTATTGCTAGGCTTGACTCAAATGATCCGTCCACTGGGTGAATATTACTCTCCTATATCACTGCAAAACAGGCATCTTTCCTAGAAATGTAGGATCAAAACTGATGATCTTTATGATTGAATCAGAAAAAAGAAGTGATGTTTTTCCATCAAGAGCTAGCAGCAAGAAGCTGACCTATGCCAGAATCTCCAAATGCTTATAAAGAACATGTGAGGGAGAAAATGAAGTCCAACATTAAAGGGCAGAAATCAGGCACAATGGCCCATATCCAAATAAGAGTACCCCTATGACTTGAATGGAAATATAAAAAAGTGGTCCTAGAAATATTTCATACAGTAAAATTACCCATTCATGATAAATATTTTACTTGATTATTTATTTATTAATATCAAACATTTAAATACCCCTGTTACATTGCTGGTACCATTTCAAAAATCATAAAATGGAAAATAAATGTAGCTTTGGAAAAATATTAATATCATGTTTTAAAACTATAATATTTAGCATGCTTTTGAAAAGTGGCATAATTCACAAATATGGTTATAGCTTACCCTTTTCAAGGTCTCTAACAGGAATGTTATCTAATCAGAGGTATTTGGTTTCTATTTCTAACCATTCTGTCCTAGATTAAAAAAATACTACTATAAATTTTAGTCAGTACTCAAATTGATAAGTCCCAACATGTTGTGTCATATTTATCTAATTTATTAATCAATAACATATGTGTTCTACATCTTTACAGTTTAATATTTTCAGAAAACCAGGACTGGACATGTAGTTACGATATGGTGCTTTTCTAGCATTTGTGTATCTCTAGGCTTAATCCCTACTATAGAAAATATACATTCAGTGCACACATTGAATGTATGACAGGAGTCAACTGAGCGCATCTGAAAGACTCTAACTAGCAGTTTTTCCAAAGCAGATACAAAGATTCATGACCAAACCTTCGGCAGAGTACAGGGAATCATATGAAAGAAGGGGAGTTAGTCTGATGGGGAAAGGATAGGAGCTCCACAAGGACCAAATATATCTGGGCACAGGGTCTTCTCAGAGATTGTCATTCAACCAAGAACCATGTATGGATATAACCTATAACCTCTGCTCAGATGTAGCCTGTGGTAGCTCAGTAACCAATTGGTTTCCCATAGTGAGGGGACTAGGACTATTTCTAACAGGAACTCAATGACTGGCTCTTTGACCTCCCCACCCTCCAAGGGAGGAGCAGTCCTTTTAGGCCACAGAGGAGGGCTTTGCAGCCAGTCCTGAAGATACCTGATAAAACAGGATTGGATGAATGGGGAGGAGGTCCTCCCCTATCAGTAGACTTGGAAAGGGGCAGGGTGGAGATGAGAGGGAGGGTGGGATTGGGAGGGAATGCGGCTGGGATACAGAGTTAATAAAATGTAACTGATAAGAGAAAAAAAAAGAAAATATTTTCTGGAAAAAAAAAAGAAAATATACAAGAAAGTAATTATGCTCCATAACTAAAACTAGCTTGTAACCAAGATACCACTTTCAGTATTGTTTATAAGCACCTAGCTCAAGGTAAAGTAAAATGATTTTGGTATCATAATTGATCATGAATGTTACACAAAATACAATGAATTTGGTGGAAAGAAACAAGACTCCAGAACAGGAACCATGATGTCATCAATATACCTGATTGATTCATCATCTCTTTCATGATAGACAACACTACTGGAATCAATTTCATTTTTTAAAAAAGTCACTTTCTACCATCTCTGAGGACCCTGATTCAATTCCTACCACTCAGATGGTGGCTCACAAGCATATGTTGCTCCAGTTTTAGGGAATTTGATGTTTTATTTGACCTCCTCAGACAACAGATGTCCACTTGACATATACATTCAAGCAAGGAAACACTTATACACATAAACCAAATTATTTTCAAAATCATAGATATTATTTATAGTCCTCTGAATTCTAGCAACTACTGTGAACAACAAAACAAATAACTTCTTGGTATATGTCACACAGTAGATGCTCAACTTATGGTGTAGTCACTCAGGAATTAGTAAATCTTGATGTCAGCCTACAATGAAGGATTTTTTTTTTTGTTATGTGCCATGTGGGGAATTACAAAGTTCTGATTGAGCTAAAGCTGTGCCCCATGTATATTATCTTCCAAGTGTATATTTGAAATATTAGTACACATTAACATAGTTGTAGGTCCATATCAAAAGGAATGAACAAGAGAAGATAACCATTCTGAGATGACAGACTACCTTTGATAACTGGCAACAGATATGTATGCTGATGTCTTGATGTCACAGTGCTCTTGACAAGAGGTTATTGCGCATGCCCCTATATAATTTGGGATTGTGAATCTTATAAAATATGGGTATTTCAGTAAGGTAAAATTTTCCTGAGCCAACAAAAATTACTTTAAATTTAAAGGGTTATTTTTTTTTCCCTTAAAATTTCACTGAATGTAAATTTAAAAATGATGAGAATCTTCCTAGAAAGATTCTTAGGGGTAAATGATATGATCTCTTAATTTGACCATGGCTGAATCCATCTTGTAATAAATAGATGAGGTCAGTATCAAGGCTTATTTAATGTAACTGGACAAAGTCCACAAAGAGTCAGACAACATATTGTTTAAAGAAGAGTATCACAAACCACAGCTGCCAGTCCTCCGACCACACACCAGAAAGCATTATACCAAAGCAGGACCAATAACCTCAGTTTGAGATTGAAAGACCCTAAATAGCACTCTTGAGAAGCCAGGTCTAAACTCTAGCTAAGTGCTCTATATTTTGAAGCTCTCTTTTTAAAGGGACATATTGATGGGCTCTATGAAAATGCACCCCCCAGCATTCTAAAGAGAACAGATTGGCCAAATCATGTGATAGGCTCTTGAATAAACTTGTCCCATACCTCCAATTCTCCGAATTTCTGAGAAGATTGTAATGAGGTCTTTGGTACACGCCTTAGTTTTTCTCAATTGTACGTGATGCAGTTTCATGTGCTAAGAAACACATGAAAGTGCAGTCTATGAGCAGAATGAATTAGCAGAGTCAGAAAAAAATCAAACATGTCCAAAAGAGAAAAGTAGGAAATGCCTGTAGTAATACGGAAGAAGAAAAATATACATACCAAATACCCAGCAACCCAGTAAATCACCTAATTTTTAGGAAATAATAAAAACCTGTTTATAAGAGCTATTAATGCAAATAATCTCAATTTAGCAACACAAAGACTAACTGAAATAACTACTACTGCTGCTACTATTACTACTAATAAAAAATAACATATCTATCTATCTGAAATCTTCAATAAACACACATGGGAAATGCATGTTTCCCTAAAAGTGAATAACAATGAATATCAAAACCAACTGAATATTTAAAAAAAAAACATGCATAACTGTTCTTATATTTTTAAAATAGATTTTAAAACAAAAACTAATTAGAGCAGTATACTGCATATCAGTGAAAGGAACAATCCATCAAAGCAAAATAAATTTGTAAACATTTAACTACCAATTATTGAAGTTCATAAAATTACTAAACAGTAAATAAAAAGCATACAAGGCAATGTTGATTTTGACACAATCATAGTGGAAAACTTGATATACCATATTCATTTTTAAATATATCTTCCAAACTAAAAATGAGCAAAGAATAAAAAATATATATTTTTCTGTGTGGTAAATGAAATCTTCTCCAAAACCAATTGCATAATAACAATTAATAAAACCACATGATTACAAATTATGACATAATTATTTATATGATAATACACTATAGTAGAACAAAAATTGTAATCAATAAAAGAAAACTACATAAATATGTAGTAAATAGTTTTTTTTTTAATTTTAGGTAAGAAATGTTTTATAAATTTGCCTCTTGTCTTTTTACAGTAGTCATGCCAATGTTCTCTGTATTGTTCCAATTTAATATATGTTCTAGGAAAGGGACTACTGAATAGCAAACTTTTTTTAAATTTTTTATTAATTACACTTTATTCATTTTGTATCCCCCCTTAAGCCCCAACCTCCTCCCCTGCCGATCCCACCCTCCCTCCCCTTTCTGCATGCATGCCACTCCCCAAGTCCACTGATAGGGGAGGTTCTCCTCTTCTTTCTGATCTTAGTCTATCAGTTCTCATCTGTTGAATTAATAGTGGCTCACTAAAGAAGTCAAAGGAAGTAAGTGAAATATCTCTTTATTCAAATGAAAATGGGAATACAACTTAGGAGAAACTTTGGGATCCAGACAAAGTCATTCTAAAAGAAAACATTATGACTATAACAGACCATATTGAAAAACTAAACTAATTTCAAATAAACAACCCAATGATACATTTTTTTTTCATTTCATTTAATTTTTTTTATTATTAGGTACATTTTATTATCTCTGTATCCCAGCTGTATCCCACTCCCTTATTCTCTCCCAATTCCACCCTCCCTCACTCATTTCCTCCCTGCCCCTTTCCAAGTCCCCTGATTGGGGAGGTCCTCCTCCCCTTTCATATGACCCTGTTTTATCAGGTATCTTCAGGACTGGCTGCAAAGTCCTCCTCTGTGGCCTAGCAGGACTACTCCTCCCTTGTGGGGTGGGAAGGTCAAAGAGCCTGCCATTGTATTCCTGTCAGAAAATAATCCCTGTTCCCCTTACTATGGGGAACCAATTGGTTACTAAGCTACCACGGGCTACATCCGAGCAGAGGTTCTAGGTTATATCCATACACGGTCCTTGGTGGAGTGTCAGTCTCAGAAAAGACGCCTGTGTCCAGATATATTTGGGCCTTGTGGAGCTCCTATCCTTTCCCCATCAGACCAACTCCCCTTCTTTCATATGATTCCCTGAACTCTGCTGAAGGTTTGGTTATGAGTCTTAATATCTGCTTTGAAGCACTGCTAGGTAGAGTCTTTCAGATGCTTTCTGAGGTAGACTCCTGTCTAAGTGAGGATTGATCATCTTACACTGTGTCTGCTTTTTTGTTTATCTTCTTTAGATATATAGATTTCATTATGTTTATCTTATCTTGTAGGTCTATATAAGTGAGTATATAACATGTTTGTCTTTCTCCTTCTGGGATATTTCACTCAGAATGATCTTTTCTAGATCCCACCATTTGCCTGCATATTCCATGATTTCCTCCTTTTTGATTGCTGAGTAATATTCCATTGTGTAAAATACCACAATTTCTGTACCCATTCCTCCGTTGATGGACATCTGGGTTGTTTCCAGGTTCTGGCTATTACAAATAAAGCTGCTACAAACATGGTTGAGAAAATGTCCTTGTTGTACTTGAGCAGTGGTAAAGCAGGGTCTTGAGGAAGTACTATTCCTAATTGTCTGAGAAAGTGCCAGATTGACTTCCAAAGTGGTTGTACCAGTTTACATTGCCACCAGCAATGGAGGAGGGTTCCCCATTCTCCACAGCCTCTCCAGCATGTGTTGTCACTTGAGTTTTTGATCTTGGCCATTCTGAAGGGTGTAAGGTGAAATCTCAGGGTCGTTTAGATTTGCATTTCCCTAATGGCTAATGAGGTTGAGCATTTCTTTAAGTGCTTCTCTGCCATTTGATATTCCTCTATCAAGAATTCTCTGTTTAGCTCTGTTCCCCATTTTTTCATTGGATTATTTGGTTTCAAGACTCTAGAAAAACAAAAAGACTCAGTCCCAAACACTATAGTGAGCAAGAAATAATCAAAATTAGAGAAGAATTCCTGACATAGAAACAAAAAGAAAAATATACAAATAAACAAAGATTTTTTCCTTGAAAATGTTAGTAAGATTTGTAAAGCACTAGTGAAACTATCAAAAAGAAAGAGGGGCATGACCTGAATTGACAAAATTAAGAAAAAAAATGAAATAAAGCAACAAATCTCAGTGAAATACTGAACATCATTAGGGATCCCTTTGAAATTTTATACTTTGAAAATCTGGAAAGCCTATACTAAAAAGTAATCTACCAATACCCTGATGTGCACAGCACTTTGAGAAAACATAATAGAAACGTATTTGACAACTATAGTCATCTAGACACTGTGATTTTTATTAATAAGCAACACACTTATTCAAAAAAGTATATATTAATACAAGTAAACACATAATAATAATATTTTAATATTTTAAGATGGATTAAATTACTTAAAGGGGCAAAATGACAATGGGAATTTGGAGATACCCAATCAAAGTACACCAAAGACCTCAACATAAAATCAGATACACTAAATGTAATGGAGGTGAAAGTGGGGAATAGCCTTCAATGCATTGGTACAGAAGACAACTTCCTGAACAGCACACCAAAACTTTAAGCACTAAGGCCAAAATGCGACCTCATGAAACTGAAAAGTTTCTTTAAAGCGAAAGGGGAAGCAACAACAGGTCAAAAATGCAGCCTACAGATTGGAAAAAGATCTTCACAAACTTTATATCCAAAAGAGGGATACATCCAGAATATATAAAGAACTAAAGAAATTAGACAACAACTAACAAAATAAACCAATTAAAACGTGGGGTACAAAGCTAAACAGAGAATTCTCAACAGAGGAATTTTAATGACCAAGAAGTACTGAAAAAAAAGTAGCTAATACGAAGAATTCAAAGCAAACCAACTCTGAGATTCCATGTTACACCCATCAAAATGGCTAAGATCAAAAAATCAGGTAACAGCACACGCTAGCTAGAATGTGCAGCAAGGGAACTACTCCTTCCACACTGGTGGGAGTGCAAACTTGTAAAACCACTCTGGAAATCAACTTAGTAGTTAATCAGAAAATCAAAAATGGATCTGCCTCAAGACCCAGTTATACCATTCCTGGGCATATACTCAAAATCCCCTCCATCATTCACAAAGGACACTTGCTCTACTCTATTCATAGCTGCTTTATTCATAATGGCCAGAAACTGGAAACAATCTAGATGTGCCTCAGCTAAAGAATGGATACAGATATCGTGGTGCATTTACACACAGGAATACTGCTCAGCTATCAAAATCAAAGACATCATGAAATTTTCAGGCAGGTGGATGCAATTGGAAAAATATCCTGAGTGATGTAAACAAGACCCATAATAATGTACATAGCATATACTCACTTATAAGTGGATATTAACCCTAGAGTACAACATGCTACAATCAATAGACCCAAAAAAGCTAAGTAACAAATAGGACCCAGGGGAGAATGATTGAATCACATTCCAAATAAAAATTAAGATAGACATTGAAGATGGATGGATGTAGGGAACTGGGTGGGGTGAAGGTGTGGGGAGGAGAACAGGAGAAATCAAGTGTGAGAAAGACTAAGGGAGAGAGAGCTGAATTCGTGGGAGGCTGGCAGCTCTGGAAGGAGCCAGAAACCTAGGACAAATGAAATTCCCAGGAATTTGATGGTGACTCTAGCTAAGACTGCTTCCTCCAGGGGGAGGTGATCAGAGAGCCAGCCACTGAGTAAGATGATATTTATGTATTCATGTGAGGCCTCCCTTTCTCTGAGGGGAAGGGAGGGAGCAGGGAATGAGGGAGGGGAGAGAAGAGAGAGAAACTGGGAGAAGAGGAAGGAGGTGAAACTGTAATCAGATGTATAGCAAATACATAAATAAATAAATTTTAAAAATATTTTCTATCCATAATTTATTTGCTTATGTTTATAAAAAACAAAAAAAGAAATGTTTTTATATGAATTTGATGCATGAAACCTATTAAGCCTAACATCCAGAAAAGTGGCACTAAATCAATGCTGACTATTTGCTTGACTAGTCAATGATTTTCAGTAAGTAAAAATTAAAAGGTTCAACAAAGGAGACTATCACTTTCATGCTGAGTCCTTCCTTAGGCCCTGGTTTTTCTGAAGGAGTAGATGTCTCATTAACCTGGACGACCGAACAAAACAAGAACCATGTACTCGTGAAAAATGCTGTTTTGCACTGATTTTACTATTTAGTTGGCACTTATAGAGCTGAACTCCAGTGAGAACATGTAAGGAATAGAAAAATATAAAATGATTAAGTTTAAGTCACAAGCATATTAGTCTACATATTAAAATGCTAAGCACACCAGAAAGGCATTGTAGTCCTACTGTAAAACAACAATTAACTTTATATATGACCTTCAACTTAGATTCAGTCAAACTTGGCCAATGTTAGTTCAAATAATGAACAAAAAAGCATCATAATACAGTACATAGCACGTCAGATATTATGCAGTTTTATAAATTTGGTAATTTGAGCAAGCATATATATATATATATATATATATATATATTCAAATAATAGTATTTCTAAGTAAGTAGTAAAAAGAATAATTTCTTATAAAATGGAATTATGGGTACCAGAGAGGTGGTTTGGTGGTGAAGAGTGCTTGTTGCTCTTTATAGGACCATATTAGTTTCTCAACACCCATTTTAGGTGTCTCACAACCACCCCTTACTCCATCTCCAGGTAACCTATCATCCTCCTCTGGCCTCCATAGGTACCTAGACAAGGGCAGTCTGTGGCTTGGTATATAGTCATATATACAGATATGTACATGAACATATATATGTAAATGTGTATGTGCATATGTGTGTACATCTATGCATATGTGTATGTATATACACTCATCTTTTCTAATCTGAATGTTCTATATCTTTAATGGCTCATTTTAAAAACTCAATGCATATTGCTACCTTACTATAGCCACTACGGAGCTCTAGTCAATGTATTCACTATAGACACTATAGACATTTGCATTTAATCCTGTGCCTCAGGAGCAGAGCACAATACTGGGCTGGATAGACGCAGAAGAAGAGGTGGAGTTTTCTACTTAGTTATACACTAGAAATATACCACATACGATTCAGCAGGTGATATTCTTTCACTGACCAATGATGATAAATGATGAATAAGAAATATAGATATGTCTTCCAAGCATTAATTTTATTCTCATTTTCTGAGTTGCAACTAAAAATTATTTAATGCAGAGTGGTGAC